CACACACACACACACACACACACACACACACACACACACACACACACTGTTCAGCAAATAAAAGGAAACTCCAGGCTAGCAGCTCTCCTCCACCTCCACCAACACTTAAGATTCATGGGCAGCAGCACTTTGGAAAAGACTTAATTCAAGCCACCCACAGAAATAATTGATTTCCTGCCGAGATCCAAATACAAAACATGGCAACTTATCATATCTGCCCACTGGTCAATGTTCATGGATGTTCTCAGACATTTTAACAGACAAACACACTCTCTGTCATTATTCAAAGCAGACCACCTGGAAGCTTGGCTGTTTCAGGACAAAGGAGTCTTAAAAGAGCTTAGTGAGATGATAAAACGCTTCTGACAGTATGTGTGCTGTGCTTTAATGGCCAAGGTTGTATATGCCGTGAGATCAGGGATCTTTGTGAGTGCCAAAGGTATTTATTTTCCTCGCGTTAACGTCTAATCTTGGCTTCAAGTCAGAGGTGGGGAAGCCTCCAGGATTGGCCTTGTTGTTGCCTTGTGGGTTGTTGGCTGCAGGCCCCACTTCTGCCCTCCAGCTTCCTTCAGATTAAAGGCACCAGGCTCCACACAGCTGGCCTCTACAAAGCTTTCACAAACGTCCGTTTTTCTACATTTAAAAAGGCAACGGCTTTATTCTTCATTTATCCTCAACTTCACCTCTTTCATTCCATTTCAAAAAGAAAAATTTACATTTCAAACATGAGGATATTGTGGCTTGGGGAGCGGCCGTGGTGCCTGTGTTGTTTGATCGGGTTAAAAGACACTGATTCACATCCAATCATAAACTGCCATTTTTGTAAATTTGTTAATTGTAGTTTTACAAAAGTTAGGACATGTTTGATAAGGCTGTGTCAACAGGACTGTCTTCACAGTAAGCCATATTTCATGTCTTATTCATTAAATTTTACAATCCTGAATCACACCTGAGAGAAGACAAGGACCTAATCCTGACAAACTGCTTAGGTATTCAATTTGTCACTAATTTAGATTATTCAAACAAGCAAATTGGATTGGGCCAAATATTATAATCTTTTACCTAGCGAGGAAACACTTTGGTCAGAATTGTTCATAATTTGTTTGTAATCACACTCTTATTTCCAATGTTTTTCCTGAAATTTTCTTCTGCTTATCCCATTCAGGCTCTAATGTTACTGCCTCTAAAATTACAGGATCACTTTTCCCAAAACAGAAACCAATTTCTTGGAGGGGAAAATAATGTCCTCTTTCAGATCACTGCCTATTTCCACAACTGAAAAATGTATGACAGCATGCCACAGGATCTCTAATCACATCTCTGCTTATTTAGTTTGGTCTGGTCTTTTGTTTGCTGTGCCATTAGACTGAGGTTACCGCTTACTGAAGACAGATGGACAGACCGTGGTATTTATGACCTGATAAATACAAAATTGTGTGGTACATTAGCTTCTGGAGGAATACACATGAGTCCGTCTAGCTGTATGTCTCCTTATAGAGAAACATTATACATTTAATTTTGCTGCATCCTTCCAGGATCGGCTACTACAGCACAAAGAAATTAGAAAAGGGAATCAGTAATCACATTTGCCTACCTACCACCATATCGTTTCAGTGAGGCAGCCTGTTCTTTTTTTGATTTTTAGAGAATTTAAGTATACAAGTAATCTTGTTGGGTTACTTGATTGTCAAAGCACTTGTGCATACATTTTAAGAAGCACAATAAATTGTTTTTAATTTCTTATCAGTTTTTTACAAACAATTCTATTAAAACATTTTTCCCTTGGTTGAAAAAACTTTGTTGATGGAGTTGTGTCAACAGTTAACAGCACTTTAATGTTAGCTGTCAGAAAAGACAAAAGCCTGGCCCTCTAAAGGAACAAGTTTCATATCACACCCTTCAGTCAATACAAACAAAATGACACATACACTGGAATGCTTCTGCTACTGGTTATCAGCCAAATATACAGTACATCATGGTTACTAATCTTCATTTTAAACATCTTGAAGAGTTTTACAGTATTGCACCAAGTGCCCAGCAACTTGTTCCTCATTAATGATTACACTATTCATAAACCTCATAATGGTATAGCAATGTCAATTTATGTCAAAAATGATGCCAACCTCCCCTGGTCTCTTTGGACCTTCTGGTAAAGCAATCAGGTGCTGAACAGCTGACAACCACTAGCTGCCATTAGTAGCGATTGTAAACAATACCCAGGTAAACTGGCGGATGGTTAACCCATGAGCTATGAAGCAATTTTGCCTCTAATGTATTATATCTATGTGATCAACATCTTAGATTTTGTGATTATGTTTCATAAAAAAAGTATGTAGTTTCTTACCTGCACATTTTCTCTGAGGTCAGTAGCCTCCCTGAGGGGCTGGGTGGAAGCTCTGAAGAGCTCGTCGACTACTTTGATCCCCGTGGTCTTGGTGGTGGTGTACTCCCGGGCCTTCCTACCCTTCCTGACAGAAAGACCCCTCTTATGTGCCTTTCCTCCTCCCCGTCTGTTGGTGATGGCTACGTGGACAAACAGAGTGGTGTTGGGTAGGAACTCTCCTGTCAGAGATTGTAGAGGGACATGTCTATAGCCTGGCTGTAAGCACTCAAATGGGATGGTGTACTGGCCAATGAACTCATCTCCAATGTAATCGTCATCCAGCACCACAAAGCGCAGTACTGCAAGTTCCGGTAAATTGATCTGGAATTCAAAACTCTCATCAAAAATAGGGTTGTCGCCATTCTGGGACACGGTCTTGGTTCTTTGCTCAGCACAGTCAGCTGGGATACCGTGGATCTCGACATATATGTAGGGCTCCACCACATCACCCTTAGCTGCAGAGCCGCGAGGCTTTGGCAGATTCTGCCCACTGATGATCTTGATGTGAAGAAGCTGAGCCGATACACCTGGCAGCGAGTCCCGAGCATTGGCACTGAAGTAGGACACCTCCTCCCTCATGATGGCTGGACGCAAAACATACCCACAGTTGCCATTCTGCCTGAACCAGCCTAGGTTAAGATCCATCATCAGGCCTGGCGTCTGGTAGTTCATGGCCACAATCTGGCAGCCACACTTCCAGAAATCCTGGGGATTCATGTTGCTGGCATCAATTCTCATAGGTGTGGGATATACCCTGGAGAGAAAGCGCTTGTTATAATAGACAAATTCCTCTGGGAACTCATTGGCAAACCTATTTGCATCTACCTCATTGAAGGAGCAAATCTCCCAGTATTTTTGGTCTCTCTTTGAGATCTCAAAGTCCCTAAACTGGACTGACTTGCAGAGAGATACAAGATCAGAGAGCTCCCGGCACAATCTGAGTCTTCTGTAACCTAAGCCATTTAGCTGGTCCTTCTCATCAGCTCCCACTCTTCGAGACATTTCCAGACCCTCCTCCTCATCTGTCACATCACCCTCAGCGTCAGTACAGTTGGGCGGAAGCCTCTTGCCCTTGATGAGGATTTTACCTTTAAGTTTCTCAGGGGAGGGTAGGTAGTTTTCCTCCTTGTTGGGGGGTTCAATGAACAGCTTGTCTCCAAGAATCTTCTTCATATGCTGTGCCATGACCCTTTGCTGGGGAACGCAGCAATGGGCCACTAAGCAGAGAATCAGGGGATACTCCGAGCTCTCAAAAGCATACTGGTTTATGATATCCAGGACTTTAGAGAGAGCAAGATGTGAGGCGACAGAACTACCCACATACACCACTGGTTCATTATCAGGGCCATCCCATACAATGACCTCAATGCTGCGACAGCCCATTCTTAGAGCTCGGATGTAGCTGCTGATGTCCGACGAACCCCAAAAATGATCTTCCAGAAGAGAGGCATTATGGGACGCGTTGATGTAGTAATGGGACAGAGGCTGGGCCATATCCTGGCACACACGTTTGTGCTGGGGGTCAAAGATGTGGCATTCGGACGAGAGGAGGTAGTGTGTAAAGCCATCAATGGTGAGGTAGGCCCTCTCCCTACCTTCAGCGGAGGGCTCAAATTTCTGAACAATGTCTCTGCACATGTCCTCTGTTACACTTTCCACACCTTGCTCCACATCTACAAAGAGCATCAGATCTTTACTGTCCAGATACTCCTTGTTACTGGAGAACTGTACCAGTAGGAAGAAGATCTCTGGTCGTGTGCAGAGCTCACAGTAGGCCTCCACAAAGGTGTCCATGTTAATTGCCTCACCGTATTGGTCTTTAGATTTTTGGAGTTCCTTGAACTTCAGCTCTATCCTCGACTCTTTCATTCCAGGGTTGAGCCCCTTGATTATCTGGGTGGCCCTGAACAGGTCTATGTGTCCATCCTTTTCCATATCGGCTAGCTCAAACACTGAGCCAATCCAAGACGTTCGAAGACTCGGTTGGCTGGGTTCCACCATGTCCACGGTGTGCCGGCCATAAGACACCAGATACCTCAGGCCCATCACCCAGGTGCTGACAACATCTGCTGTACTGGCTACCAAATCTAAGGACTCATAGTTATCCCCATAGATGATTGAGAAGGCGCATTCATCAGGGAACTGATCTGAGAGACCATTGCTGCGTAGAACTGGGGTTTTCTTTCCCAATCGGACCTCCTTAATACCCTTGATCTCCAGTTTGGCCTTCTCTGAATCTTTCTTGGATGGCTCCCAACGGAGCCAGTGCATGTCTGGATCAAGCAGAAAGTAACGGTTGTACATGCGTGAGTTGGAGCGCACTTTCTTCATCTCACAACCCTCCATCATGAAGGCCATGCAAGCAGCTGTGCTGCTGATTTTGCGGTCACTTGGCATTGAGCTGAAGGACACCGTTTTCTTCCTCACTTGCCTCTGTTTGGAACAATCCTGTAAACAGAATGTGGGGGGGGGGGGGGGGGGGGGGGGGGGGGGTTGGGGTAGAGAAAGATTTCTTGGTTACACATTGTGTCTGATCTCCATCTTTGTATATTGTATCTGAACAGTAGTGAACACTACAGTGAGATTACAATGTATAGAAGAGGAGAAAGGAGACAAAGACCGAGTTAGTCATTTCATCACAGAGTGGCTCTACACCTAGATAGATATATGCACATTTAATCCTAAAAGAGAATTCTTAAAGCTAAACACAATAATAATAATAACAATAATACATTTTATTTATATAGCGCTTTTCATAAAACTCAAAGACACTTTACATTAAAATCATCATATATAAAAGCAATACACTAAAAACATAAAATACACAATAGTGGTCACACATTAAAATCAGTTTTGAACAGGTGGGTTTTGATTTGAGATTTGAATGTGCAAAGGTCAGTGCAGTCTCTGATGTGTTTGGGGAGAGAGTTCCAGAGGGAGGGGGCAGATATGGAGAAGGCTCTATCACCCCATGTCCGGTGCTTGGTCCTGAGTGGAAGAGACAGGAGGTTGGCATCAGAGGAGCGGAGCCGACGGGATGGAGTGTGGTGGTGAAGCAGGTCGGTGAGGTAGGAGGGGGCCTGATTGTGGAGGGCTTTATGAGTGAGGAGAAGGATTTCCTCACTCATAACAAGCAGTTATGATGCAAAAATGTATAGGAACATAATATAACATTCCCATAAGTAAACTGTATTGAGCTGCTGAATGCATAAACATGACAGATTATATTAACGAGTTGCCATTAAACACCTAGTTATCAAAAGCCTAATGGAAATCTTCTTTTTCTCCCCAGCAGTGGAGCCAATATGCTGGAGCCCATTCAATGGAGATGGGACACAGTGGTGGATGGGTATGATGAGGGGTCTTCTTTGACATTTCAATGGCAAAAAACAATCTTTACTTTTTGTAATATATTAATGACATGCCAATAGCCTCAGAGATAATTATATGTTAATTTAAAATTCACATCTCCTTGTCTAATTATTCAGCTCATGTTTTGAATTGCACAACTTCACGTGAAGGCAGAGTAACTTCTGGGGTTTCCCCTTGAGACAGAGCTTAATATACTGTAATGCATGAGGTCTGTTTCTTTTTAAAACAGGGCTGCTTGCTGTAATGATAGGGTACAAAACTGTACAAAAACAATTTTGGCTTGGCTCAAGTCACAATGGTTTAATCTCTCAAACAAATTTAAGGGCTTTCAAATCCGTTTCAAGTTACATTATAACTGCAACTGAGATGTGGTTAATTATTCATCCTGTGGGCAACCTCTCATAAATACATTTCTTGCCAACCAATTGCAAAGACATTGAAATGTGAAATGTCTTTGGAAGCTCTACAACCAAGGCAAAAGCCAAACATGTGAAAATACTAAAACAGATGCATCACACACACCACCTGCCATGGCATGGCTGAACTCTTGCAGCTTTTAGGTTGTGAGCCTAGCTGGCAGAAAGCAGACAGACAGAACTGCCCTATTTCTACACAAGGCTGTGGTTAGATAGATAGCCTGAATGCAGATGGCCTGGTTGAGGGCTTGTAAAACAGGCTTGTTGAATAATGCATACCACACAGAACAGTACAGCGACATCAAAACGAAAGCAATCCACAAATTACTGTTGCATATTAAAAAATCTAGGCACAAAGCCTTTGAGACTGTCCTTGTTGAAACTCAAAAAGAGGACAAATTTTCTTTAAAAGAACTTCAGGAAAACATCTAGTTGCACAGTCACGTGTCAGTGGTGATGCTTGATTACTTGCAAAACCTCCAATGTGAAAAAAATGTAACCAGTCACCTAATCTTAGTTCTCCACATGGCTGTTGATTGTTTTTTAGTTTGAAGAAAGAAAAGCTAGAAAGGGCAGAGGACCCCAGGGCTACAGAGGAGTCAGTATGTCTTCCCTCCAGGACAGCGACTGCCTATACAGGTCTGATAGATCTCCCCTGAGCATGGTTCAACTTTAGTCCCAGTGAAATCCCTCAGGACCATCCATCTTCTACCCGACGGTCCGAGCCAGATGACAGCCGGCACCTCATCACGATTAATGACCACCGCTTGATGCAAAGCCGAAGATATGACACGATCATCGCTCTCGTTTTACGACCTCTATGTCTTTAACCTGCACTTAAGTACTCAATATCATATTTTACAAATCTGTAATCTGTAAAAGAGATTCTTGAATCATTCTTTAATGTGGCTGTAAATACCTTTTGGACATTCTAGTCAGTGGCCCCCACTGGTCTGACACCAGATGGTGTGCTGTGACCCGATGTTGCTGGGACCACCCAGGTCATAAGGGATGCTTACTATGTTAAAATACAGTTATTCAGGCTTTTACTTTTCTCTCCCTCAATAAAGTATTTGCATGCAATTGTTGTGAGAGCCTGTCACGCCGCCCGGGCACATGGTATTGCATGTGCCGTTGCCAAGACTGTGAGGGTAAGGAGGGGAATTGTTGGTTCAGCTGGAGGATAACACAACTCCAACTCGTTCACAGAGGTAAACTTGGAGTGTAAAGAACTTGTCGACCAATTCTCATGAGAGGCAGACAGACCACCACATTGATGCTAATCCTATCTTTGTCTCATTTTGTCATGCTCTTGATTCCTCCACTAAATCATCCGCCCCCAACACATCGTAGAGCTTGTGGAGGCCGTAATAAAGAGATCACATTTCAACCTAAATGCCCTGCTGTTGTATTTCACTAGCCTGCTTTTTTTCACCTCATAAGAGAGAAAACTACAAGTTAACAACTCTATCCTATTTTTAAAAGCAGTCCCAAAACACAGTTGGTCTCTCGTCTGGTTTGCTCTTCTGCTGTTTGCAAAAATCAGTCAGATGGACGTCTACATTGACTGGGGTATTGGGGATATGTGAAGAGAGCTCTGTGAGACAGAAAGCAGACTGAGCAAGTGGCAAGAGGGGAAGATCTGTTCTTGTCTGATTGTTTCCAGGCCTTCTTTAGGGTCAAAGGGTGCAAAGGGTAATCTTGTGTCTCATTAACATGCTGTTACAATTGGCTGGACAGCGAGGTAGGACGACACACTGGGCAGCTCCAGCCTCTCAATCAAAAGCAGGTAGGCAAAATGTGTCTGTTAGGCGTTACTTCACACACAAATTAAATGCAAAATCATAAGGCTGGTGATCTAGAGGTAAATGACTAATCACTGGTCTGGGTAATATGTGTGTTGCGGATGTACAGTGTATGCTTAAAAACAAAGGTCAGCGCCAAAAAATATAAACAAAAAAAACAAAAAACATTTTGGATCCTAATTTTATGAAAATTTAAATGACTTTCCAACAATTATTTTATTTCTGCCTCTGTATTTTCCAACATGCGGCCATGCTTTTTCCCTTGATTGGCTGCGCTTCTGTTGCATTCTCTCACAGCCCCTGGGGATTTTCCTGGTAAAGATGTCAGTAGTTTGTGAGTGTGTGTGTAGATGTGTGTGTGTGTGTGTGTGTGCTTAAGTGCTTCTGGCTTGGCTGCCTGTTGCTGCAGTGATGTGGGGGTATTTTGGTAGTCCTCCACACCTCCCCCATGCCCTCTCCTGTGGTGACGCTGGTCGCCCCGGGCTGGGTCAAACACTCCCTGATGGAAGGGTGAAGCAGCCGGGCGCGGGGCAGGCTGTGGGACGAGTCCCCCAACATCATCTTTTGTCACACCCTGATGCTGGGCGCCGTAAGCAGTACAACATGGTTCAACTTCACTCCTGGGCAGAGACTTGTGAGCATCTCTGAGTTTAAGAGACTAAAGGGATGTGATAAATTATAGTAGGTTACCCAGTGTAATTTTAGGTTATTATTACTTACAATGTTAGCAATATTTTATTGTTACCCCGAGTAACGTTCTAGTACATTCATTTTTAGGGGCAGAATACAGTGAGCCTATTTAGACTTGATGTTGACTTGGACTTGCAAACAATGACCAGGGAGGCAATTAATGCAAGATGAGCTCCCAGGTTGCCTGTTACACGGCAGTGCCCCACTGAGTGGAGTATTGCATAATAATAACTCTTTAAAATGGTACTGCAGGGAACAATTGACAAGATATAAAAAAAAAAAATCGAAATTGTGTAATTCTATAATCATTATCTTTCCAATGTTATGTTTATAGCATCTTTCCTGTACTCCCCGGTCTGATGTGTCCTGGAATGCAGCACTATCAAAACTAATGCCTGCTTCATCTCCGGAGGGTGTGTGTGTTTGTGTGGGTGCAACACAAGCACCCCAACAAATACCCCGAGGGCTTCCTCTGCCGCCTGATCGCTTGTTGTGTCAGAAAGCACAAGCAAAACTAACTACTACGTTCTCTCTCTCGGACTGAAAAATACAATACCGTACTGAAACGCTGAACCTGTTTTTGAACTCATGGAGGATTGATCTCTCTCCTAAAGGTCTTCCTGTGGGAGCCAGGACATACTGCTTCTTTCACTACCCACCGGCCCACTTCCCCCCCCCCCCCATCCCACAAAACCTCAAACCATCCCACCTCGTCATCACGGCTCGGCTGGCTGCCTGCCACTCGCTACCCCTGCTCCTATCATATCGTATCTCATCTCCAAAAAGGGGTATGCAGAAAGTAGTCAGGCACGGCTCAGTTCCTCTTGCCCACAGAGCTACTGTGTCATTTGTGTGTGTGTGCAATGTGAATCAGTGAATAAGGCAAAAGGGGAGTGTGGGTAATGGAGAATGCAGACAGAACATGCGGCGCAGAGCCCACTTGATGACGTGCTCGCCGAGATGTGAGTCACAGTATGTTTGTTGAGTTTGCCTGGATGTTTGCTGGGGGGATAGGATCAATGTCTATACACGTATAGAACACCCTGACAGACAAATAGTCACAGCTATGCCACATTACACATGAAATGCGCATATTAACATGTCAAACACTAAGAAATCCAACACACACCACAAAGACACCCGTTCCTGCGTTTTGATGGTAAAG